AGAAACCCCGATAAAAAAAGCCTTAAACACGCCAAAAATAACCCAAAACCTCTGCTTGGAGAGTAAGCTGTGGCCGTTGTGCGCCAGGTTGGTTTTTATCGTGAGCGACAGCGTAATTCTCCCGACCCCTCAGACATGACGAACAGACGCCCCTTGGGGGATGAGAAAGAACGCCAGAAAGGTCGGCCAACGTCTCAAACAGTTTGACACAGCAAGGACATTCCTATATAATGTCCTTGAGTAGAGAAAGGAGCATCGCACCGAGAATTTTTTACACCAGTGCCTCAAATCAAATCATATTTTGTCAGCCATTATCTTTTTTATCATAGTCTTTTTCTTGTACATCCATTTTATATCAGGAAAATATTATACGATAGTGTATAGGAAAACTACAAAAGTATGTTGAAGCCATTCAATTAAATACAAACACATTAGTAGCCACAAATTTGTGGATTTTCCACCTCAGAGCATTAACAAAACTAAACACAGCGTAGATGCATGGTTGATTTAATTGTCCCAACATGTGCAATTGTCTGTGTGAACTGTTTGTTGTTCTGTTTCGCTATTAATCATGTAAAGAAAATGTCACAGAAAATTGTTCATGTCACCACTGGTTATCTAAAAGGACCTTGGCAGTATTTTAAACGGCCCATGAAAATATCTTAACCGTGCAGTGAAGTGCACGAACACATTCTGACACCCTAAACCTATTAGGGCAGGCACGGTGGGAAATTAGCTAAAAAAATCTCGAAACGAAATCTCCAGTATCTCCGTTCCAAACCTGATTAGTGTGCCTGACGGTTTTACGTCCAAGGTCCCAGCGTGACCTGAGCGTGTTGTGTGGAGGGTAGGACTCGGGGTTTGGGGAATAACAGGGAGTAAACAGCGGCGGTGGTCGCGCCGTAAACAAGCCAGGGCAGCGCAGGCCGCGGCCTGTGACGCACGCGATAGTCATGGCGCGGGAGCGGAAATCGAATTTTCCTTACTTACTTCTCGATCAATACCGGTGGCTGGGCGCGTGAACGCGGGGTGAGGCAGGGTCCATGCATTATGCCATTTCATTACCGAGCGGTCAATCCTTCGGCAGAGGGCGGGCACGCCGTGGCCCCTTATCTCCGCAAGGATCCAGAGGTCCGCGGCTAGGGGGACGAGGTTGGGCACCGTCGGGCTACACAGGCCGTACATCAAAGCCACCCTCAGCGGTCGCTCTCGATCTCTTTTTTTTATTTCACGGACGTAACGCTACAACAACACACCTGCCGCGATACCAGGTAGGGCTACTAGATCTGTCTTCATAAAGATAGACTTGTGTCAGCAGCAGGTAGAGATACGGTCAGCCTGCATGGCCGTGGCACCGCGGTCTCAACAGGTGTCGTGGGGGCGCTACTCTCCCAGGTAGTCCCGGGGTGAGGGTTAGGTTATCAACCATGTAGTCAAACTCCGTCCCTCTGTATTAAATTACCTGCAGCGGCGTTTGATAAGCCTGCTTCATTGAACCTTGTCCGCGTTGATTAAGACACTCAGACATCCGTCTTTCCTGCGAGGCGCTACTAGTACTCTTTTTTTTGTGAGCGGAATGTAATCTTGTTCTTGTCCCGGGGCGAAACGACTTCTGTCAGGGTCCTGTGCACCTCGGTAGGATTTACTGGCCATTAGCTTAGAACATTGTTGTTTCCAGTCCTCGGGCGCCAAGACTCCTTTCCTGTAAGTACTTGTATTAAGACTACACCAGAAACCCTTAACCCGATTGATCAATAATTTCATCGTATATTTTCCTCATCCTATACCCACATTTCGTATTATTTCCTCCCCCCCCCCAGAAAGTAGCAAGATAGGGAGAAAATTTTGTGCTTATGGATACTACCAACATGCGTCTATAACTACCCATAAATATGTCTCTGTACAGAGTCCTGTTTTGTAGTATTATACCCAGCTGTGACGATCTGTGTTGGTGTCTCACAGTATCACTAGAACAGTTCCGGTTTTGGTGTGTTCATATGCAGAATGACAAACATTATAGTAAACATATCTGTGGTTCCAGTGAGGCACGTTTAAGACTTCTAGGAGAAGAACATAAAGGTGGATAAAATTGATTCTGATAATATGTTAGGTGATACATGTATACGACTATATTTTACAAGAATATTTAGCATTCGTTGAAAAATGGTACTGCTTGTAGGAATAATTAATTCATTTATTCCTTTTATTTATTTATTTTCAAACCTGGCACAAAGTTGTACCCCAGACTACCCATAGTCTTCGCAGCTTTGTTAAACCTTCAGCGTAACTTTATACAAGAGCAAGTGGCTGGCTCTGTGGATCCAATTTGCCCGTGACAACTATCACAATGGTGTGAAAAACTAATTATGCTGGCCTGCCTTCTCTTTTCACCAGACATCTCAGACGGTTGTTCACACACTTCTCTAGATGTCTCCACGAGTCAGTCCTGTTATTGTAGCTGATGACTCAATTAAGAAATTGCACCTTATATCTATTGTTTTCATCACTTTAATTTGGACCAGTTGAAGAACATTATGAATCTCACTTAACCTGTTTATTTTAGGTTGTCTGTACACAAATATTTTGGTTCTGTGGGAGTTGTCTCTCTTATAAATGGATTATGTAGTCTTTGTTGTGTTTTGTAAAGGTTCTATTTGTGTTGCTTTGCAATATTCATACAAAATTAAGCAATGTTTATTTGTTTAACAATGTCACAAAGCGTTAACATTATTATACCAATTGCACTCTCTATATCTGCCTTGAAAATATCTTCACATACTGAAATTCACTTATTGAAAAAATATATAACTAAAAAAAGCTTATCTTCTGTCAAAATTAATGCCCTAATGTTTTTCTATTATTTCGTGATTTATATTGTTTATGGGAGTAAAAACACAACACTTCACTGATAGGTTTATCTAAAAGTCATTCTACTGATTAATCTTAATTCTTATGATCACAAGCAATCTCTTAAGTAACTTACAAGTTCTTGAGAAAGTTCTTGAGAAAGCGAGACGGTGCTTCAGTCAGAACTTGTGCAGTAAAGTGGTCGTCTATCACAGGCAACCACAGCTTTTGACTTCGCCTTGGCGTTATTATTGGCTCGTCTTGACAAATCCCCTTCTGCGATTACACAACATTTTGACAAGCGGACCATCTGTGTCGAATCACAGTGCCGACGGAGCGCGCGTCACCTTGTCTGCCTGCCGCCCGCGCCCGTCAAAAATCGCGCCGAGCTTTAAACCACGGTAATCGGACCATCTGTGCGCCACCGTAAAAGATCTGTGCGAGCTAGTAGAGTCGCCCGCGGAGCTTTTCTAGGGCTTCGGAATCGCGGCAGAATTAGTGGAAAATCCCTGTCACTGTAGGACTCTTGTGTAATCTCGGCGGAGCCCGGCAGAGCCACCAGTCGGGCCGGGTGTAAAGCCGCTCCGCGGTGTTGCGTTTCGCCTGGGAGCCGCGGCGTGTTCAACTCCTCCCCGCCTGGGATTTACCAGGCTTGTGGCCGCCCGTGTTCCCGCGGTCGCGGGTCACGGGTAAAAACAGCGCGGACCTTCCAACGAGCCGAGTAGGTGATTACCACTCGCGACAACCACTACAGCGCCGACCAGAAAAGGTCGGCTACTTGCACCGGAGCTTTCTTTATACGTGCGCCTGGCCCGTGGCGATCATTTGTGAGCCTCAGATCGCTGCTAACTTGGGCGAGCACTGAGTCCGCCTTCCCCTCATTCAGAAACGCTAATGGCTCGATTATCAGTGCTTCAAACATACATTACCCCGGGAAAGGTTATCGTAACGCAATTATGTCGTTTGGGTCTAACGAAATCATCACGCTTTGCGTTGCTCTTTCCGTTGGTGCCAGAGGAGGGAAAATCTAATTCTGCTAATATTCCTCCATTCAATTACATCGGGGAGGGAGGCCCGGCATGACAGCTCATTTCCAAATACCAAATGTTTCTACCTTGATTTGATTTATCGCCTTTATCATACTCTGACATTTTCTGGCTAATTGGTAGAGAGAATTGCATTCAGTAACGACCACTTTATTCCTCCTAACATATACATACATATACAACTACTCGTATATTTTCCTTCTCTCTCCGAAAAGTTTTTTGCGGGCTCCTTGGGCCGTCTTATTTACCTTTCTCGTGACGTCAGGTCGCTGGCGTCAGTGTGGCTGGGTATGTAAAGAAGCGCAGTGCTTCAAAAGCAGCGAGGAGATCGCCCAATTACACTCTGTCAATCGAATGTGTGAGTGGAAACCAAACGGACATCCCTAAGGCGATATAGAGTTTTTGGACTGCCACCGCCAGCGTCGTGGAGTCACCACACACACACCGCACACACTTGTACCGAACTTAGCACGGAGACGGTCACTAAAGGAAAACTTGGCGTCTTTTCTCCGTTTGCGGGTTTGGGATAACCATCTTCTAACTGCTTATCTCCATAGTGGCACGTGGAGTAGGGCCAATTCGCACTTGCCCCGATTGTTGCAAAGTAATCATTGTGGCACAACGTCCCCGATACAAATCTACAAAACCCGAAACACGAAGCACGCCGTTTTATTAAAACAGCGATCCATTTCCGACACCGAGAGTTCATCAAAAGTGCATTTCAAGACACCCGGAGCTGTTGGCCAGGCCGTTTATGGACTGACTTCGGGGTCACTTGTCGCAGGAAGTTTTTGTGACGGAATCTGGGCTTAATTTGGGGGGTGTTGGTGGCCACAAAGCCCGTTGAAGAGGGAATAATGTGAGAAATCCAAATATAATCTTCAGTAAAGTCCTCAGAGATAATTTGGCTGATAAGAGAGCGCAGTGTTTGATTACCTCACCCCCCTACTACACAAACAAATAGTGTGCGCTGTAAATACATTTACTGTCTTGTGGTCTGACATCTCTGCGCCGGGGAAACACCCGCACTTGTCTGATATATTCTTGAAAAAAAAAAAGAAGCGAAGTGTTCCACTCTCACGTGCGCGTATATAGGCGATTACAATCGCTAATGCTAATTTCTGGCTTTTCTTTTGAGTGACAGGAGGAGTTGATGAATTGCCTGTTTACTTTTCTGGCCAATCGGGGCGGGGCTGTCAGGGGGCCCGCCGCCGTAACGTCAAAATCAACAATCTAATAGGGCTCATGATTGGTCATTAGTAGGCGCGACGCGCCGTGCCTGTCTATAGCTCTGAGCCGACTGGCGCCAACATTGCGGGAGAATGTGCCGAAAAAGAAGTTTGCAACAAACGCCTTCTTGTTTGCTGGTCACACACGAGGTCGCAGCACCAGCGCGCGCACGGTCCCGCCAGCAGCGATACTTGGTGCCAGCCTCCTTCGGAGAGTGATCGCAGCCCCGCCGAGGCGACGCCGCACGAGCCCCGGTGCCCATGTACGTCTGCTTGACCCCGCTATACGCCACTTTGTCAACTACCGTAGTGGATGTAAACACTGTATCGGGCCGCTTGCTTAGTCCCAGCTGATCCGCCGGCACGCTCAGACAACAACGGCCTGCCAAACTTTGTCTTATCGTACCAATTAGATCTGCGATATTTGCCCGAAAAGTTGGACGATGCAAGGGGAAATACCCCCTCGTTGTGTGTAGCTCGTAGGTGTCGTTTGTTGTCGAGAGATCGCTGATCTGTTTGGACATAGGTGGTCGGCGTGTCCTCCCTTTGTGAGGAAGAGTCTTATACTTTTGTGTGTCGTAATTGTGAGCACTTCTGTTGATATTGTTGATTTATTGTTATATACACGAAAGTTGTGATCACAGATAGGCCGTACGTGTGTTTCATCACGGATTATCTCCCCTTTAGATCCGCGCTGCTCTGCACTGACTGAGATTGAACGTTGCGGACCTGGATCTCGATCTGGCCTTCGCACGAGGGTCGAGCCTGGGGTCACTCACCGGACGGTGCCAGTTCCCGCCTCGGGGAGTCATGGAGGTAGCCAGTGAGCAGCCGCGCTGGATGCACCCGATGCAGACCCACGACGCGCACGGCTCGGCCGCCGAGAGGATGCACGCCGCACACGCGGGCTTCGTCGAGCCCTCGCAGCTCCTGCCACCCGAGGACATCGACGTGTTCTTCCACCACCTGGACGCCCAGGGCAACCCGGTGAACCAGGCGGGCTACTACGCCTCGTCCGCCGCCCGAGCCGCCGCCGTGTACCGCCCACCTCACGGTAAGAACAACAACCACTTGTCCTACTACAGTTCACTTCACCGTCAATGTTTTCATGGTTATCCTTTATTTGTGCTAGTCTTTTTTGTGTGTGTGTGAGCAAGAACATGACACCCGACATCCCCGGACACCGTCAAGCGATGTTGTTGTGATAGTCTTGTTTAAAAATTAACCGTAGTGAGATATGGTCACGATCGTGATGGTGACAAAGAATTTGCGGTCACAAGCCATCAAGTTTAATTCTTTTGTGTCTGCTCGCTCGTTTGGCTCTTGAGTGGCCATCGTAGACCATGTGCATGCGTGTATGTTGTCTTTCGTTGCTACACAGTAACTCTACCAGCGCACACGTCCCAAAATATGCTGACTACGTCTTGTGTTGTGTATATCTCTCAGAAGGTTATCACCACTTGTTAAAGACGGCCCGACAATATGGGAGTAATTTTCGGCTGATGTGTGTAAGGATGTTTTGAGAGTGTCAGACGGCCTCTGGCATGTTTGTAATTGGGATAAAATATAACATTCCACGAGCTAGAAAGAACATAAAAAGAACTGCGACCAGTACGTAAGTCGACGATCGGTCTAACCCTGTACATAGGATGTTTGTAGTTGGTAACAGTAGGATGTTAGTTGGTAACGTACTTGTTGTACGTGTAAGTAGACGGCTAGTTAGCACGACGACGATCTCTCTGCTACAAGTCCCGCCAGTGCCCTTGACTGTCACGGACCTGGCGTGTGTAGCTTTGCCGGCCGCCTGCTCACCGACATCGCCTCGAGCCGGGCGGTGTGATCCCCATTACTTTACTTACTAACGCGTGAGAGCAGAGAGTATAGTCGGAAGAGTATAAGGCCGTCGGTGACCGGTTTGATATGATCTCCTGACCTCCGGTGGACTGAAAAAAAAAGGCAGGCCGGGGATGATGTAGTGGTGGTCGTACATCAGACGAAGTGCGACAGGAAAGAGGTCTGTGGAGGAAGGGGTACCCGCGCCGCCGCGAGGTGGCATGACAGATTCATGAGCGACCGATCCCGGGTTGGTTGGTTGGCAGGTTGGTCTGTCGCGGCGTCCTAGCCCCGGCTTCCCGGAAATAGTGGCCTATTTTAGCCCCTGACATCATTGCAGGAAGTCTTGTGCACTTCATGTGCCAAAGAGTGAGAGAGAGTCAAGTCAGTCGCAACTCGGAGATTGCTGTGTACAGACGGGAGAGAAAAAAATCTGTCCCACAGCAAGCCTACCGGGGATTAGGCCCGCTTTTAGGTCGTGTGAAGAGGAAATCGAATCAGTCAGACAGCGAGGATCTGCCGCGTTAATCCTAGCCATAACTCTAATATTTCGGGTATGAATTGTAACATGAGCAAATCTCTGGTCTCTTCACCAGCGCCCGTGGCGGGGAGTCAGGTCTGCCGGCCGCACTTCCACACGCCGACGGCCATGCAGTGGATCGAGAGTACCAAAAAAGTGACGCTGATGCACCCGGGGCACAGTGGGCACACGGCCTGGTGCACCAACCCCTTCACCAAGTCCGTGCACCACCCCAGCGCCTCCGGTCCCATCACCGTGCACCCCGCGTCGTCCCTGGCCTCCACCGCCTCCAGCGCCCACACGTCCCCTTCCATCTTCAACTTCCCGCCGACGCCTCCCAAGGAGAACACCCCGGACAACGTGACCAGCAGCAGTGGCAGCGGCGCCGCCGCCGCCCTCTCCGGCTCGGGGGCTACCGCCGACGACAAGCTCAAGGCGGCGAGCAACAATCACTACAGCATGGCTAATTCCATGACACCGTCCTTCTCTTCTCCGTCAGTAGTGTCGCAGCCGCAGGCCCACCACCCCGTCCCAACCTACCCGGCCTACGTCAGCTCGGACTTCGCCTCCGGACTAGGCTTCCACCCCGGCGTGCTCAGCACCCACAACCCCCTCCCGCCCACCTCCGTCGCCAAGCCGAAGACGAAACGCTCCAGTACCGGTAAGTGCTCCCACACACGTCCTTTATACTTTTTACTCACAACTTCGCCCCTTCTGATCCCCCCTAACACAACTGCCGTTCCTCTGTTGTTGTTAGCTAGTGCACAGTTCCATACACTGTCTCCAGAAAATTATGCTTTATAATATTATATCCTCTCACGAGTCTCTCTACCTGGTATCCATCCCTCTCCATCTGTGTCAGTAATTGACTCAGAGAGAGAAATAAGTGCCATTACACCCCGCCAGTCCCCATGTGATGGGTATAAACCGGGTCTCAACGGGTAGGGTAGATATTAGCGGGAAATGCGACCGTTTTCCTGCGTTGGCAATAAAAGTTGTGTCATGAGCGTTAACGCGGGAGCAGGTGTGTGATTGGGTTCTCCCTACAAGTACTCACTCACTCAACACAACACACGAAGCGGTTGAGAAGGGGGGACCACAAGGCCGTACACAGTCAGTGTGAAGCTCAAACACTACTACCATGAAATCGGAGATTACACGATGTATGTTATCGATGTAGTAGCACAATATCCATGCATGACAGTAGTTTGGGGGGCACTGAGACAGAGCTGAGAGCTCGCCTGGCGGGACCTCGACTCGGCGTACCCCGGCGCCCTCCCGTTCTTGATGTGCAAAAATTGTGATTGCATTAATCTGGCCGTTACGGCACCTCTTGTCCACATCTGATTCAATTATCCTTGCTTTGTGTTCACCCCGGCACGTTCAGGACGACAGCGCACATATTGCTGCCCTACCGTGACTGCTCAACCGCCAGTCCCCGGCCATTTCGACAGCCCCGAGCCCGCCGGTGAGGCTTTAATTATGTTCCTACTGGGAATCCGTCGACTAAATTCGAAACAAAGTGGATTTCAGAATTCCCACGAACTCCGAGTCCATGCAAAATTCATGACTGGGTGCCTATCGAACGGTATAGGATGATAATTACTTTCGGAATGAAGACGAAGGTAATCCTATTATGATACACCAGCTAATGCACATGTATTGGGCTATATCTGCGGCCTCCGAAAACGTTTGACAAGCCACAACTGCTGCGTCCGACGCATCCCAAAATTGCAATTTCACCCGACGCGCACCCGAACACATTCTGCAAATGTATTTTCAATTTTCCACGCATCAAATATAAAACCTGGTGGAGCCAGCGTGGCTGCGGCCGAGCGAAACAGGTTTTTCGCCCAAATCCCCACTCAAGTCCCGAGACGGCAGATTTGTGGGATTTCGGGCCCAACCTTTACGATTCGGGCAGACGGTGATGTCTGTTTTAAAACCGTTACCTGTCTGTGGAGTTAGAAGTTGAGACGGCACTTACACAGCGACCTACTAGTACTACTACTTACCACTAGAGGTGTGTCCATGAGCCAATAGCAACAAAAACCTCTAGAAAACCTTGGCAATTTGTTAAAGGGAACGTTTCCTATATTATATTAGGTACAAGCTTTACAAATGCACCGTTTTATCGCAAAACAATGAAACGAAAACAAGACCTCACGAAAGCGAACTCCCCGCAGAGATTGGTTGATCTTGATGCGAAACTTCTCTAGACCCCTCTCCCCTCCCCGTGGAGGATTAAGAACCCGATGTATCAAAGTTGAAGCGTGCAAAAACAAACACACGGAAAGCCACGGAAAAGGTAGAGCATAAATCAACAGCGTCTGCCAACGTTCTGTTGATACAGCGATTTTCATCTGACACGAGTCGGTGCTGCGAAATGACCCCGATATTTGATTATCTTTTTAACGATTATGACGAATCAAACAAACTCGAAGCGATGGGTACAGCTACAGACAGTGGTACGTAAATACACGGAGTTCGCGATTTTGATCGATATTATTACAGCAATGACGGACTCCCAGTGGGCTACATATGATGCTTGCGTGTCGTCCTGTATTGTGCCATAGGTCTGCTCGGGCACACTGAACTTCGCTGGGACCGCTCAAATAACGGACTGTGCTTTTACAACATTGTCTCATTGATTTTGATTTGAAAAAATACGTTGAAAGATGTAACACTTCATTCGTAACGTCGAGCGAAATTCAGTGTGCTGGCAGATAAATGTGAATTTCTGAGTTCTAAAGCGACTGATTATTTTTTAGTCACCAGGGGCGCGTTCAAATTGGGCGACTTGATTCTAGTAGTATTTGGTAGATCAAAAAGTTGAAAAAGGGCCCTCTATCCTTGAACTTACTGCATAAAGATATTCCATCTATTCTCCTCTATCAAATACCTGTTGCTTTTCACGTTTGGATGAAGCTGTCGCGTATGTTTTCCGTTTTCTTCTTCAGTATCATTTCTATCTAACACAAGCGGGTTTTAGAGCTCAGAAACGCTGTCTCCTATCCTTCAATGAGTTTAATCGTAGTAGGAAGTGTTACTGTATCATAGAGACGACTAGAACACAACCGATACAAGTTCATGTCAAGAAGTCACTAACGTCTGTTTTTGTGTTTTTCTCTTCTCTTGTGTGTGTGTGTGTGTACAGAAGGTCGGGAGTGCGTGAACTGTGGGGCGACCTCGACGCCGCTGTGGCGACGTGACGGCACCGGCCACTACCTGTGCAATGCCTGTGGTCTCTACCACAAGATGAACGGCCAGAACCGACCCCTCATCAAGCCCAAGCGGAGACTGGTGAGTCAGAAACCCTTCTCTTATTCATGTGACTGTGCCCTATAGCAGAATGGATCAGAGTAGTAGTCAGGTTGACTCAGAAATGCTTACATTGTTCCTTGGTAGTAGGAAAGTGTAAAGAAGGCCAGAACCTAGGAATATCAAAAATAAGAAAAAGATTCTCCTATATGCTGCACAGAGTGACAGATATGATTCCGCTTAAATATGTGAAGCCTGGTTGTATCATTCGGCCAGGTAGGAACTCTTGTTTCCAGTTTTGGCCGCTCATCAATGAATTGTCATTTCTGGTCCTTGTGAGTTGTACGAGGTTTTGCAGTAGCATCACTGAGAGTTTTCCTTGTGTTTGTCCTCGTATCTTTGTCCAGTCCTGTTCGCATTCGTCTTGTGGTAAGGTTCAGATTCATTTTTGAGACGAAGACTCGAATGTTTCAGCTCACTTGTTCATGAGTGTGGGTTTGCATGTCTACATATGTTGGCATTGTATTGCTTTGTTGAAGGAAAACTCGTTGGGGCCTTTTCCTGCCTGCGGAAAAATAGTTTTGAAGTCTAAATTTGGACTTCCCGTTTGGTTTTACTCGTCGCGTGGGTGATGTTCCTGTTGTTTTCGATTAAGCACAGCTGAATATAGACGCAAAATTTCAGCATGCCAACCGGTATCCCAGAGGGTACTAGTAAAACTTGTAGATTTGGCATTGTATTCTGTAGCCTTTCATTCTGAACTATCTTTGGAGGGAAAGGACGGTACGTTGTTTTATCTCTCGACCCACGAGCGTGTACTGTTGACTGTTTTCAATTAGAGTTGTTATAGTATCTGGAAGTTTTCTGGTGACTTTTATGTGGCTACCAGTCCTGACCCACCAGGCAAGCAGCGATGTCTGTGTTCACTAATGCAGGCGGCAAATAGAGAGACAATAGCCAGATGAGACGCCTTGTTGTTCCGTGTGTGAAGTTTTCATTTGCCCCTCGCTGCGAAAACGTGTAGCCGAATTCTCGCCCATTGTCGAGACGGCATTCTGACGAAAGATTGATGATGATAGATTTGGCTCCTCCGCGGCCCAGTAAAACAGATCGCTCTGGTCGAGCCACGGAGTTGGGAAACAAAAAGAACCACTCGAGAAATTCCGTGCTTGTAAGACGGCCAAACAGCCAGCTCGTGTTGGCTTTGCCCTCTAAAAAGGGAGGAGGGTGCACAGGCAGTTCACAGTTTGTCTAGAACTATTAAAGGGTCTCCCTGCAAAGTTGACAGTAGTAGCACTGCCTGGGTGACAACCAACTTGTGTTATCTTCTGTGATATCTCTCGCGATCGGCTCTTAATGATTTTTAAACTGCATGGTGGTTACCTCGCCGGCGATGAGAGGCTAATTTATCACAGGGCAGGGAAAAGTGGCAGTAGTAGTAGAGTAACGTGCCTTGACGGTTTGCTCTGACAACCACACGCACACGTACTCCGGCACACACACCAGCAGGAGCAGTAAATCTTGCCGTGAGATCTTGTTTCCTCGGTGTGACATCGTTGGCGTGTCCGTGTGAATAGCCGCGGACAAAGCGCGTCGTGCTGGGGCACATTATTCGCCCGGAATCTGATGTGCATTTGATGGAGTGGCGGGGAAAGACCGACCTTATCAGGGGGCGCCAGATAAACCCGGGCTCGTGCCACCACCTCACGACTGAGGTTTCCGCTTCCTCCCCTCGTGGTCTGCCCCACACCCACGGGAGAACAAAGAAACATCCCTTAAAAAAGACGAGAAAAAATGCATATTGAAGAACTCTTAAAACAACCTTTGGGATTTTACACCCGAAGTTTCGGTGACCATTTGGCACCTCCTTCTGTTGCCTTGAAGACCGAGGTGACAGACACGACCACCGAAACGTCGGTGTACAAAAACGCACTGGTTGTTCAGGAAAAATAGCCTGGATGCCAGACTGTGTTCAGGGCCATGCAGTTTCTGTTGTTTAGGGTCTAACTGAGAGGTGCCTTTGGTAAAAATTTTCCCGGGGACACGTTGGCCTTAGACTAGTTAGAGCCGAGACCCTGGCACCTGGGCCATTGAATAAAGAACCTTCTCGTGCAGTCTCTTGCCAACCTGGTGAAACTGTGCACGAATCCTCTCTCTTGAGATCGACGGTTTGGGACAAAAGTTTGGGGACACGACTCGGGTGTCGGGAGAGCACAACCCCCCAACCGCCGGCTGACGTCGCCTGCCCGGGGTCGGATTCTGTTTGTTGATGTAAGGCGCCCAACACATGTAACATCTACCGTGTTGGGTTTTGTTTTGCCCCATACTCGAATGGCCATTTTCTTTCGCAGGCCATTGTTTCCCGTTTCAGTAAACAGATAAATCGGGGTTGAGTAAACTTACCGGGTTACCCTAAGTGTGGACATTCAATATATTCCCTCCTCCCAAATGGACCTTTGGTCACCCCGGCTTTTGTGGCGAGGCTCAAACACCGTTTGTTGCAAACCCTTGTGTCAATTTGAAACAGTACTGAGTAGAAAGTCTACCTTTCAACCATACAATTGTACAAACAAAGGCCCTCGATTCTACAAGAAACTCTTGAAACGGTTTGTTTTTTGAGGAAATACAACCGGCGCACGTCCAATTCACCGCTTTGACAAAAGCGTTACTGTTGAAATATCGCGAGCATTTTGAACGACCGAAAAAAAGCACAACAGAGTCCCTTTTTTAACACGACGAACCATCAACAAGTCAGATTACACTACATACGTTTATTTATTTTCCTCCCGTCAGCACGAAACCTACTCTCGAAGCAGAGGTTATGGGGGAATGATCGTTAGCTTTTTATATATGGCCGTTGTTGGCCGGCGACTTTCTCTGGCCAATGGATGCTGCCTGGCCAATTTTATACTGTCTTTTTGCCACCGAAAGGGATCTGCTTGGAGATTAACGATACCGTCAGGGGCAGCGTGAGGGGAGGACCAGCGTTACACTGACATTTGCGCCATATCCTGTTCCTCGCCACACGAGGCGCTGTGTCGTGCCGAGAGATTTCCTTTCTCAAAGACCAGATTTCCTCCCTGCGTCTAGTACTTCCTTCTCTGCGTCTGCTCGTTTTGGGGCGAGGAAATAAATAAAATAAACAACGGTGCAGATCCCGGCAACAGGTTGTACCTACCCTAGCACGCGAGAAAGGAAAAATCCCTGAATTTCAAGCACAGAATAAATTCATATTCCCTATGCAACTAGGCGATCCATCTCAAAAGCTCCATCTGTTCTTACATCTATAGCTGCCTTGAGCAGTGAGAAGTTGAACTTGTAGTACATATTAGCAAGGAGGTTCAAAAGATAGGTAAACGTTAGCAAATATAGATGTAGTAGTATGATACAACACTTTTATGTCACTGTAATTGTATCTAGAAGAACTGCTTTATTACAATGGCCTGTACTTTGACAAGTTGTTACAAGAGCATAAAGTGTAAAGGACTTTCGTTCATTCATTTGTTACTTTGCTTGTATTGTAAGAGCAGAAACGCAATTCATTCATTCTTTAAGTGAAATAAGGCAATGAACTCATGAATGTGACGCGTTTTTCCTTGTTTTCCCTGTCCCTCCAGTCCGCTGCACGAAGAGCTGGCACGCAGTGTGCGAACTGCAAGACCACCACCACCACCCTGTGGCGAAGGAACCAGAACGGCGACCCTGTGTGCAACGCCTGTGGACTTTACTACAAGCTGCACGCGGTAAGGAAACATTTAACATACACATCGTGTCAGAACACAGAATTGACAACTTAGCATTGACATTGGAGCGATATGAAACCACCGTGTTTTGTAGAGTCTACACAAGGAAATGTTGATTTGGATACAACAGGGAATTTATTTTATATACGGTCTCTGACAGACTGCTCGATATAGCTGTGAGGAACTGCGATGGAAAACGTCCAAATTCCACACTTAAGGTTTATTTTAGTAATCCCTCTAAGTCTACCAAGCATCCTCTACTCTTAGCAGATTAGGACTATTACTTGGAAAAACGGTTGGTTGTTTACTTATCAAGTTTAGCAAAGTCTACACAGTGCACACACACGAGGAAATCCTCCATGTACCTTAGCTCCCATTAAGTTCCACTCTCAAAAACGCTCCGCAAACAAATCCGCTGTTTGGAGGACACTTGACGGGTCAATAGGACAGGAAATGTTTACCTGCCAAATTATATCACCCGAGAAAACGTCCAGATTATTCCGATGGTCTGATAAAGGGCTGATCCGTTTATTGGAAGAAGTGGACAGGATCAACACCGGGAACATGCTAGCACAATCTTAGCAAAACGTGTAAGGGGCAGGACTGTGCGTGCGTTACGTTAGATTTACGGCCGCTTCTAAGGTATCGCTGCCAAGCTTCCACCGCTCATCAGTCTGTTGATCAAGGTCAGCGCCGGGTCAGCGGAAAGGGGGGCAGGGGTAGGGGAGGTATGCCCGATATCTTGTTAATCACTTGTTGTGGGCTTTCTAACGGTTGATTACAGGCACTCGCGGATGCATAGCGAAGTTTGGTCTAAAACAGGACGCTGGCTTGACAGCGAAGTGACGCGATGCTAAAAGTCTGAAATCTAATCGGCCATGTCAAGAGTGTCGAGGGGTACTTCGTAGAGAAAGAGAGTTTGCTCAAGCTATTTGCTCACCGCATTGTGAGGGTCCTGGAGCAGTCTGATTTGACAGGGGTTGTCGGAAGGGGCTAATGAATTTTTCATGCCGCCGGGGGTTCGCAGACTTCTTGGCTCGGTGTAAAAATCTTTACATGGTTGATTAGGTTTCAATGAGTGTCTTGTGTTCGACTCAATAAGGGAAGTTTTAGTTTGTTTTCGTGGGTGGATGTGGCTGGAGCGCCCTTAAAACGCCCTACCGACGATACTATAGCCTGCTTGAAGTTTACCGCTTCTGAAAAAGGCCCGAACTTGATCAGACCTTGAGCTGTGAGTACGAAAGATTTGTCACTATTGCCTCTGAGAGCGCCAGGTCTCACCGAGACCACATTTCACGGATTTGCTCTCTGAGTGACAGCAAGGAACGCCCCACCAAAGCTCGAGACGGGTGGTTGTTTTGTTAATCACGTGCTTGGCGCCAGCATAATTTCATTAATTAATTCACGCTCGGAGGCAAACCACGAATCATCTGGTGTTTATTAAGACGGCGTTTAAATCATGTTAAATTCATTAGCACTTTGAGGAAGAATCTGTGGGTTAATTGGCCACGATAAAGTTTTAAACTTTCACGCAGGATCGTGGACGTTAAGAAAACGTCGGGGACGAACCCAAGCCAAGTTCCTAAATGTTTTCTCAGGACTGAAACCGATACCGGGGTCGTGCTCCTAACGAAAGGCGGGGGAGACACACTCGGGAATACGGTTTGACCTGGAAAGTTGCTAAAGAGAGAGCACGGAGATCGCGTCAAGTAGGTCAGTTGGTTCTAACGAGATCAGTATGTGTTCTGTCAGTGTGGTAGGACTAGGAGATAGCAGTGTCCTCACAGTGTCAGTACTAACTACTAGTAACACCGATCTCGTCAAGAAGCCATAGGAGTTACTAGTACTCCTCATTGTCCCCAAAGACAACAGTGTATCTGTGACAATGGGACAAAAGGGCGAGTGGGTGGGACGTATTACGGGAGACAATGGCCCGCAGATTGTGTTTGTCTTACCGCATGTGTCTTGCTGTCGCCAGCGGTATAGACAACGGCGTGACAGGCCCTCCCCTCGCGCCATGGGGGTCCCGTCCCTCGGGGTGAAGTTTGGGGAACCTGGACAAAAGATAAATCAACAAATAACAAGATCCGTAAATAGCTTATAGCTCGCGAGCGGTCTTCGAAACTTGTGACAGGGTTAGCCTTCGTAGCAGGCTAATAGAACTGGGGGTCTGGTGGTCTTCGGCTGTCTTCTGATTAGCCCAGTTCTAAAACGGGGTAATTCAACCAGGTCGGCTATGTTGTCTATATGCAATCAGAAAATAGCACATAAAATATCCCATAGACCCTGAAGACCCTCAAAACATTGGCATGCTATGGAGGCTATGACAGGTCTTGGTGGTTGGTTGGCACACTCTTGTGAGCCATATCGTATAGGAAAATATTACATTGTTTATACAGCAAAGTCCTCTTGGCACCTAAACATAAAACAGACCAAAACACAGACAGGGAAAGAAACATATCAAATTTTCATTCAAAGACAACGAAAACATATCTGTCAGATTTACTTTCCGAACATTCACACGACTTTTGTAGTGTACCGTGTATCGTGGACATTATGTACATCCTTGCTGGTATCTATCTAAAGTGGAAGCATTGTGATGTCCACAATGCTACACAACACATTACACACCGGGCAGGATTTGGAGAAACCCAATTGTGATGTTATCTGGCGGTGGTTATGACATGATAGGACATACTTTCAGGATACAATGGTGAAGTCATGCAAGTAAATGTGCGTTGATAAGGGATGTAGGATATCGGCGTGACCTTTTCTCAGTAATTGCAGGTTCCTAGCTGCAGTGCCTTGTGATTAGGCATGCCTGCTTTTGTACTGCGAGAAATAGATAGAAATGGTAGGCTCAAAGTCAAGCCTTGGAAATGGTCCACTGAGCTTGACTAGAAGCCAAGCAAGCCTTCTTTTTATTATAGAAGAAGTGGGTAAATTCGTGTTCCATTGCCTAAAAAGAAGAAGTCAAATCCTACAAAACTAGTACCATGTATGTTGTAGAATATAGTATAATGTTAGACGTAGTCCCACATACCATTGTATTTTCTTTCTTCATACATGTTGTTTGTAACTGCTATTAGCCCTCGGGCATGTATTTGCAATAAACTTTCAATTCAATTTATTTGTGGGGAGTAAAGGTGGCAAACATTTAACGTTGAGGACTGCTAGAACATCTTGCCAAAAGTCACAACAACCTGTGATGTAAGCGTTGACGGCTTACAGACTTGGCTGCTGTTATTGTAATGAAGAAACAGAAGTTGAACTAAAAGCATTAGGAAGTCTGCAACAGACTCGTTTGACTCAGCTGAAAAAATGTCTCAAGGGGTTGACTGATTTACCAGCATTTCCCTCTGTGGCTAGCTAACCTGTGGCAAATTGTTCATTAGACTAACTTTGCCAATATTTCTACTTTTCCCAGCCACTATGCAAAAATGCAATCTGGTGGACCCTAGCCTGGGATTAGCCTTTAGCACACTCAAGCAGCCGTTTCGCTACCAATTCTCTATTGGTTACAGGGTTATATGATATACCAATGTATTCATATCATATATATGTATGGTGGGATGATTAGCCCAGCATATGGTCCCCTCTTTGGCTAATTTCTCCATTTCCTTCAACCACAAAAGGATCTGGGTGTAGACAAGAATTGTGTATGCTAAGGGTTGGACGAGTTTTGAAAAATCCACTTGCCCAATGCAAAATATAAATGACACATTTCTATGCATTTTTACTGCAAGGAATTTTTTTTAGTAAAAAAAGGCACTTTATATTGTTCTATGCTTGACCAGTATTTCCCAAAGTAAGGAGATTAAAAAGGGAATATACACTTGCCCAAACAGTGCTTTTCACTTGCCCTGGGCAAGTGGGCAAGTGGAGTTGTCCAACCCTAATGCATCTCTCAGTGTTCATGTATGTTGAGAGGATTACCTGGCCCCCCTCTAATAACAGCATCTCTGTGTCTCCCCACAGGTGAACAGACCCCTGACCATGAAGAAGGATGGGATCCAGACGCGCAACAGGAAAGTCTCCAACAAGTCCAAGAAGAAGGGGAAGCAGGACGAGCTCAGCCTCATGAAGTCGGACGACAAGCTCACCGCCTTCACCTCCATGCCGGTAAACTCCCCGCCCTTCTCCGACTGCGGCGCCAGCCTGAGCGCCACCATGCCTCACATGAGCTACGTCCCCTCCAACTACACCAACCATCACATGATGTCCCACCCTGCCTCCCACATGCACCCCAGCTCCGGCCTGTCCCTGGGCCACCACCCCCTCCACACGTCCTCCAGTATAGTGGGCGCACTGGCGTAAGGAGCTACCGCTCCCCTACATATACCTCATATCCCTGCAGTGAAAAACTCTAAACTTTACCAAATGAGGGTCGTGCTGCCGCATGCATCTGAGTTTCGCAGCCCGCCTCGGGGGCGAACTGTGGAACTCAGACGGGCTGCGGCACGATTTGAGAAACCAAAAATCCACTTGCACGTCCCCCCTTCGTGATGTTGGACTCGATGATGATATATTTCCCCTTTACCATGTTGCATTATGATGAAAGCGGCTGAATTATATTGCCATGCAGTGTAAAGCCAACCGAACCAATGATGACCCTTGAAGAGAGAGAGTCAGGACAGAAAGTTTTGTAGTGTTAGTAGTTCCGAATGTTGTTGGCTCATGCGTGAAATACACCCACCTTTTACCAACCGATGCCTCCAGCTTTTCTTGAGCTCTCAGGCAGCTTCTTCATGTAAACTCTCATTCCATTTCTGTGGAGAAACAAAAGAGTGATTTCAGGAATATTTCTTGTTGTAGTAGAGGCACCATCATGTGGTGCCGAACACGGCATAGTTTCTGCAAGCATGATAGCAAAATCTGAATCCAGATATTTGGTACAGAAAACTTACATGTAGATCCCACAGTGATAAAATTTGGTTTGGTTGGGCATGAGATTTTAGGTGTACCATCCACTGATGGGCCCACATTTCCACCGTGTACCATTCCATGTTATTCCATGACATTCCCGGGATAGCCATATTTGTAACTGGACCGAAGCGTCCTGTATATGTATGAAAAGTTCCCCCATTTATTCTGCACGTATAGTGGTTGCTGTACATGACGACTTATTGTTGCTGTGAGCATGATGATGATGATGTCTTGTAATGTCTTGACGATTTCAAAGTGCAGAAACTGTAGATATTAGTACCTAGGATACCTTGTACAGACAGAGAGGGGCTTCTTATTAACAAGCCCAGATGTCAGAGTAGGCCACTGAAGTATAATATTGATGTCTGGGTTGAATTGTGTTACAGAATCTCGAAGCATGCCTAGTTAGATTGTTGTCTCTCCGTGAGGAGAGTTTTCTTGTGTTGTGAAAAAAAGATATCTTTGTAATCATTGTATAGAACACTTACATTGTTATTTATGCTGTATTTAGAGAAAAGGGTTAGGTAACGAACGTGTGTCGTAGAAACTAAGGTCACAGAAAAATTGTTAAGAGTAATAGTTATTCCCTCACGAAGGTATATTTTTGTATTTTCCTTTTTGATTCATCATTCTATTGCTAAGTTGCTGTATGCAGTGTTTGGTGCATTCCTGTTTGAATCTTTAAAAAACGAAATATCAGAAATTATACAGGAGTCAGTGAAAAGAGTATAGCAAAGTGAGAAACATTTTCTCGAGAAAGAGAACCCAGGGAAGTTGTTGGTAAAGACAACCGTGTGTTACTTCTGCAAGACAGTATTCTGTCTTGTCTTCTTCAATGTAAATAGTAGTGTCTAAACGCAGCACGATTGTAGCCATGAAGTCGTACTTTATTTAGTTCACCTTTGTTTTGGTTTTGTTCACTTGTTCTTCCAACATGCTGTGCAATATATCCAGTATTTTGACTATCACAGAAAAAAAAACAAGCAGGAGTTGAAGTCAGGTTTTTTTAAAAGGTGTACTTAACCTGCACCAGAGTTCATAGCCATATGTATTGTATCCCCTACCTTGTCCCAATGATACCAACTAAATTATTTAAATGTCTTGTATGTACAATGCCTATTTGTACATGTATGGAAGAAATTGTGACTCAATAAAGGCTGCTGGTTAAGCTGTATACAGACAGAACATCTCCGTCTTGTTTTTTTGCCAGAGGTCAAGTAAGGTCAGGTCGTGTTTCTAAAGGTTTGTTTGAGCATGGGTCAGTATGACGCATGTAGGTGGTTGAGCGGGGTGACATGTAGTGGAAGGCTGGTAATTAAGCATAGTGATTAATGACAATTATTACAAAAAAGACTCTTAAAGTTGTGTTGACCTTTAAAGGGTTGGTCTGTCACTGTGGCACCGCCAAAACTGAAATATCAGGTCTCTATTATGTACTTTTACAGTTGGAATATTACTAGTCTGTGGTAAGTTTGAAATAATGGGAACAATATCTGAGTGAGTGCTAGTACAGTCGTGGAAGAACTGAGCATACTCAGTGATTCATAAACAAAAGCAACCTCAATTTACTGCCGATGCGTCACGGGGTGTCAGCCCACTTCAGATATTTACTTGACTTGTTGGGACCCCGGTATTCTTGACTTGTCTGACATGACTATTATGGCGGTGTCACTGCTGTCAGCTTCACAATGGCCCCAACCCTGACATGGAGACAGGCGGCAAGGCTTGCCCAGGGGGCTTTTCCGACACAGCGACTCAAGCGACACTGCCGGATTATCAAAAACTACGCCGCATAAATCAACCTGGGAGACGCTCCAACTATTAACATTTTTTAATCTCTACCCAAACTGCTATCTGAAGTTGTGCTCTTTCTTGGAAACGTAGGAGGCAGTGGTAGGACACACAGGTTGCCGCGAAGGCACAACCAGAGCCCGTAATTACAACCCATGTTACTGTAATGAAAGGCTACATGGCTTCACCACCGTTTAAACCATCAACTCTTCAGCCACCGCGGTGGAAGTAATCGGCAGTGACTGAGGAGGTGGAGTTAGCGTAAGTAGCGCCAATGGCCCACACAGCGGGGCACAGATCCTCCGGACAAAAACGTCTTGACAGTAGGGGTTGGCCCGTGGTCTTCTGCTTGAACAAGCTTGCCAGTTTTGTTCATTGTCTCCCCTACCCCGGAAATTGGGCACCGTTCCCTGCCTGCAGGGCCCCCAGACTAATGTAATTGGCTCTGACTACCTGTGCAGAATGTGAGAAGCATGTGCTGAGGTATGCAGGTAGCTCGCGATGCCCTGCCCATTGTTTTGGGTATCAACACCATGATGGGTTTGGACAACGGTGGATCGAGAGGATCAGGTAGCATTCACATGTAAAACACCCCTGTCTGTGCATACAAAAAAACCAAACACTTAGGGCGGCTTCTGTGTTAAGTACACAGCTACAGAGCCCTCCACGAGAGCCGGCCACAAGCATTGTACTCCGACCAAAGTCTTTTGCCCCACCAGTTAGCCCTCTCAAAGGGATTTAGCAAAGGTAGACCACCTAACGTAAACTGCTACTAGAGTGTCCTCTAGATGGTTTACAAGACATACATAATACCAATAAACTTTATTGCACAAGTACAATGCATACAATCTACTGCTACGGTATATAACAAACATATTATGAGACTAAACTTTACAAGAGATAGTCTCTTTACAGATTGTGATGGAAATTTGCTTTTACAATAATACATAATTATACACATTTAACTTTAAAAGTTAACCGCCTTGTGAGATAGTATACATTGGGTAAACAGAAAAGTAAATTAATTTCTGTTTACTAAATGCATTATGTTATGTTTTATTTGTTGTATCCTATGTTGGATTCCGAGGATGAATAGTGTCCACTTCATGTAAAACACTAATAATGGACATCTGACAACACAAAAATCTGTCATGGTAAAACATCCCACATACCAAGCTCAAACTTCAAACTTTCATTCAACAGTCTCTACAACAGACAAGCTGCAAGTCAACCCAAACCACATAGGTAAGGATCCATCTGAAAGTTCATGTCACATGTACATAAATACAAATGCCATGTACATATAGCTAAACTAATTGGTTTTCTTCTATTGGACAAGGGTTCAACTCTAGCTTGAAAGAGATGGTTCCAGTGCAGTGAGTTCTCTTCAACATAAATGTACACTGCAGATGCATCAGTTCAATCAAGTAGAACTTTGCATATCTGGCAATGACTTTGGCCTGCTGAAAAAACAAAGCTGCGAGTGGCAGTTTCATAATCATTTACTACCCTTATTTTCATTCCATATAACCATTGTTTGACAACGCCTGCCCATGTTTTTATTTTCATTGCAATCTTACTCCCTATTCTGTTTTTTTCTGACAGCCCATATTATTAGTTGTGGGGCAGGATTATTTTCAATGAAGATTCCTAATTACCAGCGGAACCAATAGAATGTCTTGTTTGCTTTTCATATAAGGTTTTTTCATATGGCTAACTTGTGAAACATTACTCTAGGATAAAAATTTTATGTAATGCAGGTACATGTATTGACAAACTTTTATTAATGTCTTTTTAACCTTAGTTTAAATGTCAGGTGTTGGTAGAATTAGAAGTCATTCTGAAACAGGTATGAGTTGACTAGTTGAAAATTTTGGTTAGCCCAATTTTTTTGTGTTGGAAATTACAGTGCAAACTTGTTTCAGAGGATCAGAGTGTCTGTTTAACTTAGTAGTCAATGCAGTATCATTGGGGACTGTCCTATGTTTTCCAACACCTCCATGTTCTAACAGGCCTATATGTTCTGACATAATGTAGGGTTAGGGTTAGATTTGTCAGAACATATAGAAGAGAAACTGTATCATCATATCATTTACTTCATCTTCTTTCTGCTGTAACAACTTGGAATTAGCTTCTGTGTCCTTGAAGGGTGTCCTGACTTCTACCACCAGTTTTCCACTGACTTTCGCAAATGACTTCTGCACCACCAGCTCCACATTATTTGGCTGCAGTTCAAAAATGCAGGTCCAGTAGACTGTTACTTGTTTTAATAATGTTGATTCTTTCTGCTTCGCTCGTTCCTTCCTCACAGTAGTATATATGTGAACAATCACAGAAACAAGTCCAACATCTATCACTGCTTTCATGCCAATATTACAGCAGAAAAGCCTAATATTTACTAACTCCTACCTCCACATCTGTCACTGGAAAAAGGCACAGACATTTATATATGAAGTTTCGGTGTGTGGTATTACTGAAAGAGACGTCCCGCAGCCAATGAGCTTACGTACTAAGCCAACTCATCAAGCCTAGAAAGGCACCCAAGCTCCAAGATTAGGGCCCCGCCGTCGCCCAGACCCCGCGCTCCATAGCAGCGGGGCTGGCGGGAGTTTCTAGGCCGCATATGCTGATGAAGAAGAAGGGGATCAGGATGTATCATTACGCCATTACCAGGGATTACTCGCCAACCAGGACGGAGCCAGGCAGAAGGGGAGCCCGTCTGTGCGGGACGGGATCACCACAAACGCCGGAGCCTTGTGGCTTCCCCGTAATTGGGTGGGTTTGGTCCACTTATTGCGCAGATGATGAGGGTCTTTTTTCTGTTAACAGCAACAACCTCGCGATTTGGGAACTGGATACGGCATTTCAGGAAGGGGAGAGAAAACACAAGCATAGAAATAGACATAGATGCTTTATTGACTCAATACAAAAAGTACAGTGACTCTCATATAGTACAAATTGAAGAAAAATAGTGCTACAAAATGATGGTGAGGGTCTTTTTTCTGTTAACAGCAACAACCTCGCGATTTGGGTACTGGATACAGCGTCTCAGGAAGGGTGGAGAAAACTATAAGCATAGAAATAGATGCTTCATTGACTACTCTTGTATATGGTACAAATTGAAAAAAAGATAATACAAAATGATGATGAGGGTCTTTTTTCTGTTAACAGCAACAACCTCGCGATTTGGGTACTGGATACGGCATCTCAGGAAGGGTGGAGAACAACCATAAGCATAGAAATAGATGCTTTATTGACTCAATGTCAATTGTATTTAGTACAAATTGAAAAAAAAATAGTAATACAAAATGATGGTGAGGGTCTTTTTTTCTGTTAACAGCAACAACCTCGCGATTTGGGTACTGGATACAGCGTCTCAGGAAGGGTGGAGAAAACCAAAGAAATAGACATAGATGCTTTATTGACTCAATACAAAAAGTACAGTGACTCTTGTTTAGTACAAATTCAAAAAAATAGTAATACAAAATGATGATGAAGGTCTTTTTTCTGTTAACAGCAACAACCTCGCGATTTGGGTACTGGATACGGCATCTCAGGAAGGGTGGAGAGAACCATAAGCATAGAAATAGACGCTTTATTGACTTAATACAAAAAGTACAGTGACATTGATATAATCCGCTACAAGCTGCCAAAATAGAAAAAGGAAATATCGAATGATTCATAAAATTGTACTTGCTAAAACAATACATATGATGTGTGGTGATTACTAAACAGTAGGTGTACATATGTGATGTGCAGCTACTGATCTTCTATTTTCTAACCTAAAATGGGATTTTTAACCTAAAAACCATTCATAGTATAAAAAATGACTGGATACTACCTAGTAGGACAATCAGTCACCATGGAATGCAATTGGTTATACAATTGTATAGCATTTCAGGAAGGTCAGAAAGCAGGAAGCTCTGTATGAGCATATACGATGCACTCAGGAGGAGATATTTTCACAGCGACAGATATTTTTTACTCCGAAAACCATTAAATGCTTAGCCACTACGGTTAACAAAAATATACCCATCTGTTGGTGTGTATCTTTACTCTTGATATCGGCAGAGCATTTGAGCCACAGGCTCTGCAGTAATTAGGTGGGCTTGGTTTCATTCCCAGAAGCACCGATGAAGTCAGCCTCCTTGTACCAGACTTCTCCTTTAGACTGGCCACAGGCCAATTCACAGAGGAAGTGACATGAACCTTTTCAAAAGGAGAAGCACTGCTGGTCGGTCTTATTACAAGACAGACTGTTATGACAGCAAGCATTTATCCAGAACACATAAAAACATGCACAAGGAAATCCAGAAAATGAGATCCTGCCCAAAACTTTTAATCCTTTGAAACTCGAAAATCGTGTAGTCTCTGAGTTCATGGCCATCTTGAAA